TTTAAAAGGTCAGTGCTGTAATATTATTTGTCCTGCAGCGAATGGTTTCTTTCAGAGGTAATCTGATTACCAGCAGCCATCTGGGCCTGCATCAAACTCTGTCTCATTCTTAGTCCTCGTGTCTCTGATCTCACAGCTTTTATTTTTAGATCTTGTTACCTTCTTATCCTCCCAGATTCTCACGATTAATCACAGTTATTTTTTTTGTGTGCATTTCTCTGAAGAGTATTTGTTTCTGTTCTGGCCCATTTCAGGCTTTGCCGGCCAATTTCACAATGTCCTCTGTCCAGGTCTTGATTCCAGCTCATTAAGAAAAAGAAAGGACGCAGATAGAACATTCAACATTCATTATTAGTCAGCGTGTCCTTCCGAGAAATCTGCTAACTGCTGAGTTGATGTCTGTAGTTTTTATTGGCAGTGCGTAGGCTTTTCATGCATTTTTGGGTAGAGCTCAGATCAGTGAAACCATTTTCACTAAAGAGGATGTGGACCTCAGGAGTAGAGGTTAAACTGCAACCAGTCATTGTCCAACACTATCTGAAAGGAAACTTGACTTGTTGGGAGAGTCCAGACGGTGATGAGGGACAAAAGCTGTGGATAATCTGAATCCTCACAATTAAGTTACAAAATTTAAAATAAAAACAAGGTGGTAAAGAAGGTATTCAGATCCTTTACCTAAGTTAAAGTGCCAAAACTGCGCTTTAGAAATAAGCTATGAAATATATACTGAGGTAGAACACTTTAGTAAAAGTACTTTTACATATGCTTAACATTAAAGTAACCAGTACTAAATGCAGTTTTGCACTTTTTCATAGTTAATGAGTTTTTTATTGTATTTCCTGCACAGCTGTGTCCATTACTTGACACATATTTGTTGTTTTGTGGAAGTCACGACGATGCTGATGTAACTCTTCCTCAAACTTAAAGAGAAAACTTATATTTACTGCACACATAGCGGCACGTTTTGACAGCAGAAACAAGCTCTCTCATATTTGCCCCTATTTGGAAATACGCACCAAGCTGGCGGGAGGTGTGTTCGATTACGTTGTCGCGCTTGCCGTTGGACTGTTTGTCCACCAGAGAGCGACAAAGAGTCGAAACTCCGCTGCCGCTCAGGAAGCCGTAAACCAACTCAAGCTGACTGCGTCAATTTAGCCGAGTTGATCAGCACGAGACCGGAAATTCATTATTGCTGTTTTCAAAATAGAATCCAACCTCGTTTCTTAGACGAAAATAAAGACGGATGCACTCATTTGGATAAGATAGGTGAACTATGACATTTAATTACTAATCTTCACAAAGGTGCATGAATAAAATTATTAGATTTAAGGATAAATTATATGCTACCCAGCTCTGTTTTCTGTCAACTTGCATGTAGCTAAAAATTAGTCCCGATGTGGTGGCATGACCAAAGCGATGGTGAGAGGAGTGGTTTATGCACACACGTCGATACAGACTATACTGAACAACTCCAAATATTAATGAATGACAAAACCAAAATAATACCAAATACAAAATTTCTAACTTATTTTTTTAGATAAAGAATGAGGAAATGTAGGCTGTGCATCATGTTCAAGTATTTCAAAGATTGAACATCACATATTCAAATTGCTCCAAATACACACTTAAATGCATGCAGAGAGAATATAGCTGTATTGCTGATTTTAACCACCAGGAGCATTACAACCCCAAAATAATCTTTGCTGTCAGGACTTAGTATCAAAATATATAGTCAGTACTCTTTTCTGATTTTCAGTAAAAAAAAAAAAAAAAGGAAACAGTGACGATAACGTTATGGTATTACAACTTTTATCATATTATATAATGGTATTATTTTCTAAAGGCAAATTTGCATTTTCTCTTATTTTCTCACAATAATGCACGTTTTTTTCAAAAAGCTTCAAAATTATTTTTTGTAAGTGATGAATTTCTGATCAGTTCTTCCTGCTGGAAAAGGATCCATTTGGTTATATAGCCTAGCCCTTAGCCAGGCTTATCCCACTTTTTGGGTGAGCTTTAATATTTTAGGTGAACCAGTCAATAGTCAGTAGCAATGTTTAAAAATCAAATAACTCTGGGCACTCTTCTTTTTCAAATAGCTAAAATGATTTTATTCTCATAAGACTGTAAAATAACATGAAAAAAAAATTAATTTCAGCATACAACCCATTTCATGGAAACAATGGCTGTTTGCTAGTGATATTTTCCATTTGTGCTTTTCCACCGACTGGAATCTTCCACTTGTGGTAATATACCAATAGGAATCATCAGCTTGGAAAATGTGTAGGGATCAAAAAATATGTTAACTTCTAAAAAGTTTAACTTCTAACGAACACTGGAAAGAGAAGTCATGTTTCTCCCATATTAGCTTCTCTTCATTTTCTCCCTTTTAAATCCTTCTTTTCTCATCGTGCCATTTTATCCTAACAGTGCTCTTTGCTCTTGCACTGCAGACTTACATGTGGCTCCTAGAGTTTCCAAAAATAGAACAGGAGACAGAGCCTTCACCTCTCCTCTGGATCAAGCTCCCAGTTTGGGCTCGGGAAAAAGACAGACCTTCTCTACTTTTAAGATTAGACCTTTTTTTCTATTTAAGCTTATTAGAGGTGAATAAGGTTAGTGTAAAACATCCTTTAATTTGTCTTTCCTGTCTCTTTGCTATTCTACTTTATATTCTTTTTCCCCTTGCCCTCAGCTGGTTACATATATGGGTGCTGAACATGGTTCTCTGTTGGCATTATATTGACAGGCAGCTAAGGATAGTTTGATCGCCTGCAGAGAGCATTTGCTGCCAGATGGAGGCTGTGTCCAAAGTATATGGTACAACTGGTCTTGCTGTCTCTCTTGTTCTGTTGTTGGTCCATCAGCCACAGAAACTGATTGTTAAAACAATGGATTACTGTATTTTTTTTGTGTATCTTTAATGTTTTTTCATGTTTCTTCCAATCACGGAGGACTCTGGAATGGGGGAAAGCCTGATTCCTCTCCCTGCTCTGGTTCCACCTTTCAACAAATAAGTATTCAGACTACAAACAGCACTACACACTGTTGTGTTTTCAGAGAACTGCACGGGAGTATGTTGGAAAAATACCTACTCAAACAGACACAACCACAAAACGATACCCCTTCCTGACTCTTCGGTCCATCCAAAGGAGTGTTCCTGTTAAAAGGGAGTTCTTCCTGCACACCAGGAAGACCTATAGTATTTTAGGGTCTTCGTAAATAACATTATGAACAGCATTAACATAAACAGTTTAATTGTTTCTGTGGTACTGGTGACATAACCACCTGAGCCCTATGGTCCTGTTTGGGATGCATGGGATGCAACAGGTCTATGCAGAGCAGAATGATGAGGTAAATAAGGTGCAGAAAACCCAAATCTAATGTTCTCCTCTGAGGGTGAAGGGACACAGGAAGTAGCAGTAGAGCATTTTTTCCCTTTATAGACAGGTTAGCAGTGAAGACTAGACAGGGAACTGAGTGCAGGGGAAGAGACACAGCAAAGAACTGGGGGTCAAACTTCAACCTTGTTTTAACTATAGGAGATATGAGTACCTGCTCAACCAGTGAGCTAAACTGGTGCCCAAATATGGGACATTTAAAATCTCTGCCAGACTGCTTCCAAACAGCAGCAGAGACAAAAAACAAAAAAAAAAACAAAACAAAACACTGTGACACTGTTGCCAAAGTGCTTGCTCACAGGGAGTCATATGATTGTTGGGTTTTTCTCTGTATGTATTTTATATTGTAAGGTAGGGTCTACCTTACAATATAAAGCTCCTTGAAGCTATTGTTGTTGTGATTTGGCGCTGTATAAATAAAACTCAATTGAACTGAATTGAATCCTGGAAACATTCTTTCTCAAATAATTTTTAATAGAAATATAGCTGAGTATAATATCATTTAACTCATGCAAATACTCCAGTCAGTTTGTTCTTACCATTGCATAAACTGGCATCTTGTTTAAAAAATGTATATAAAACCAACTTTATGCACTTAGTTGGCTGGTCAGGCTAAGGCAGTGCTTAGGCTAAATAAATGGCCGTTTATTAGAAAACCAAAGGTTGCAACTTTTTCTTTTTTGAACGTAGACAATGTCAAAGCTTTTATTATGAAAATCGCAAAAGGAAGTGGCTTGTCGTAGCTCAACTGGCTTGTTTATAGGACCGCAGAGCGCGGTAGCTGTCAGATAGTGCAGAGAGAGGGAGGGAGAGAGAAAGAGAGATAGAGTGAACACCCACCCAGGCTTCCTCGGCTCTTTATATCAAACCCTCCGTCACTCGGCGCCTCCTAAAAGGCACTTCTCCGCTCCACCGGCCGTCTCGCTGTTGGGCGGACCTGCACTTTTTTTTACGCACATTCAGCCCGAACTAACCGCGAATCTTCGGAGTTCATTAACAAGAAGAAGCGAGAGACAGGGGAGAGACATGGCCACGACAACCTGTACGCGATTCACAGATGAATATCAGCTGTACGAGGAGCTGGGGAAGTGAGTATCTGTCACTGTTTCTCTGTCAAAATTCACGTATTTATTATTTTAGTTGTGCATGTTTGCGGTACAGCTGTCTGCTAGAAAGTGTAGTGTAGTTGAAATGTAGGAGGAGGGCAGGTTTCCAGGCAGTGCAGAGCTGAGCGAGTCTGCAGGCCAGCAGTGCTGAGCGTGTGCGCGCTCTGATGGTGCGCGTATGTGTGCGCCTTTTCGGGGATGACAGCTCTCAAAGTACCCCCCCCCCCCCCCCCCCCCTCTCTGTTTAAGCTCACCAAGTGTTTTGTTTGTTTCCTGATCATCACGAGAAACGGACGTCAGAGGGAACAATATTTGCAAAAACGTTGCCGATGTTTTTGACGGGTTCGCTCGTTTCACGGTGAAACACGGAGAAACGTGGGGTGTCAGCAGAGTCCTGTGGTGTAACCATTTGAACCACAGATGAAAAGAAGACATCTGCGGTTTATGGAAAGTGCAGTTGCACGCTTTTTTTTTCTTTTTTGAAGACGAAGAGTCAAAGTTTACAGAGAAAAACTAAGGGTTTCACATATGACAGTTGCGGGTATGACCAAATATCAAATTCCTGTCTTCTGCAAAGCTATGCAATAAATATCCGATCAAAAAACCCTTTAAGACTGCATCTCGATTGACCATTTTGTCCTGTTTTATTGCATTGGTTGGAAGTGTGTGTGCTTTACTAACCTTTATATGAACAAACAGCCTTTTTTCCCTAGAAGACATTTTTTTTGCAGCAGATTACACCAGATAAGATATTCTGCAGTGCAGCAGCAAGCAAAAAAAAAAAAAAAAAAAAAAAAAATCCATCCGATAAAAGCCGATCTGTCAAAACCATAGGAATCATACTGTATCATACTGTAGGAAAAAACAATCATATGGCAGTGCATATGCAAAATATATTCTAGGTACTATTGTTGTTGTGGAAAGTTTTGATACCATAGGGAATTAAAAGTAGTAAATACGGAAACTGAACTCTTATTGTTTCATTATTTGTGTGACTAAATACTTCTGTGTATAATAACAGATGGAGGGAAGGGAATAGGTATGTAATATGTCTGAACCTAATCTTTGAACATGACACACGGTGTGTAGTGTGTAGCCCTTAAAAGGGCTGGGCAGTTCATTAAATGTTATTTTAAATTATGGTTGTGGTGTACCGTAATTATAAAAAAACAAATTATTCGTGATTTTAAAAAAATACAGATTAGTTGTTTTGCATCGATGCTCTCATTTTCTAGTCATTTAATAACCCAACACACACTTTCCTGTCTAGCAGTGGCTGTTGCGTCTTCCCAGAAGCATCTTTAGTTTAGTTGTTATGAATAAATTTTGCTATATTTTCGTATTTAATTGGAATTCTACACAGCAGCCACTTTGTTAGGTACACTTATTCACCTGCTTGTTAACCCAAATGTTTAATCAGCCAATCACATGGCAGCTACTTGAACTACGCTTGAAGTTGAAACTGAACATGGGGAAGAAAGGTGATTTAAGTTACTTTGAATGTCGCTTGTTTGTTGTTGCCAGAACAGGCTGGTTTGACTGTTTGGGAAAAAAAACTGCTGAGCTACTGGGCAAAGTCACCTCTAGGGTTTACAGAGGATGGTCCGAATAAGAGAAAATATCTAGTGAACAGGATTCCTCTGGATGAAAATGCTTTGTTGATGCCTGAGGTCAGAAGAGCATGAACAAGTGTCTTTGAGTTGACAGAAAGGCTACAGCAACTCAAATGACCGCTTGTTACAACCTCTGAACCTTGGAACGCACAGACACAGAGTTCCAGTCTAACCAGCTAAGAAGAGGCAAAAAGAGGCTACAGTTCACAACCTCACCAAAATTGCCCAACAGAAGACTGGAAAACTTCTGGCTGGTCTGATGAGTTTCAGTTTCTCTTGCAACATTCAGACGTTAGGTTGAGAATTTGGTGTAAACAACATGGACGCATGGATCCATCCCGACTCATATTAACAGTTCAGTAATTGTGTAATGGAGCAGGGGCATATTTTCTTGGCATACTCTGAGCGCCTTAGTACCATCTGAGCATCCTTTAAATGTCACAGGCTATCTGAGTATTGTTGCTGACCACTTCCACCACTCTGGGACCACAGTGTACCCATCTTCTGACAGCTGCTTCCAGCAGGATGGTGCACCATGTCAGTGCAGCTCAGATAATTTCAAACTGCTTTCTTGAATGTGACGATGAGCTGAGTGTGGTCAAATGGCCTCCACAGCCACCAGATCAGAATCCAAGATAGCTCCATTGGGATGTGGTGGGGCGGGGCATTTGCATCATTGATGTCCAAATGTGATGCCACCGTGACCAAAATCTCTGAGGACTGTTTCCACCACCTTGTCTAATCTATGCCACCAAGAATTAAGGCAGTTCTGAAGGCTGAAGGGATTCAATTTGGTGCTAATAAGGTGTACCTAATGAGGTGGCCAGCATATCGTTTCAGGGATTCCAGAGTTCAGTAAATGCATGATTATTAGTTAATCAGTACTCATTTTAAATAATCACAATTTGATCATGATGATTATGAGAGATAAAAAAATTAATATAGAGGCAAACAAAACTTTTGGTGATTTCATTACAGTAGGTGATCTACACTTAGCACGGGGCAAAGGAGTAAAGGGGACAATTTCAAATCATCCTTCTGTGTATTGTTTACTTTGTTGCTGCAGCCCGTCATGCATCTTGTACTGGCATTATTTGATTATCATTCATATCACTCGCTATGTACTGCTAGCTTGATTTGCCTAATGCTGTTTATTCAGCCACCACAGTGATGACAACTTCAATGAGAACACAGAAACAGCCAAGTTATCTGGAGTGAAGTGCAGTTAATGTTGTGTTAGCTTTGTGGCTCTGACAGAATAAAGACTGAACTATGCTGTCATTGAGGAACACTGGAAAAGACTGTAGTGCAGGGCTGTCAAACATAAGGCCTGGGGACCAGAATTGGTCAGACAAAGACTTTTTAATTATTTTTTTCCAATAGATCCACAGTTAAAAAAACAACAACTGCATTTCTTTCATTTAAGTGGTGCTGACAGATTTATTTAATTTACTACAGCAGCATTTATTTATCATGTTGAAAAATTGAGATATGCTGTTGAAATTGCACTTTGTTTTCTTATGTTAAGATCTCTCAGTGAATAAATGTTTAGTTAATCTTCTTTACACAGAGAGAAAGGGGAGTTTGACTGGTCTGGCCCACTTACGATCAAAGTGGGCTGTATGTGGCCCTCGATGTAAAATGAGTTTGACGTCCCTGCTCTAATGTAATCCACCTCCGTGTTCCAAAGATTATATAATGACAGATATTTTTCTTTAAGTTTTATTAGCTGTTGCATGATGATGTATAAACATGGAAATCGTGTTTTTCTTGGACTTTGTTGGCTTGAATCTTTAATCTATTTAAAAACAATGGAAAACGAGCCATGTTAAAGTATTCTTTTAATCTATTAAGTGTTGTCCTAGATTTATATTATTTACAGGCCTGTCAAAAGATAGCAGGATTATTCATAGGTGCTGAGAGACTTTTTAAACATGACGGCATAGTACTATTTTGTACATTTGGAGTGTTAACAGGTGTTTGTGACAGCTCATTTGATGTCTCTCTTCAAAGGCTGGTAAGATACGCACCTAATATGCAAATATGTCAAGATAAAGTCAAGATTCCTTGAAGGATTAATAAAAGGAACTGAAAAGATGCCTCACTAGAAGCCTTTGATTTTTAATATTTACATTCACTCCTTGCTAACTTAAAACTGGCTCAAAAAGATGACAGTTATCTGTGATTGATTATGAGAAACAGAAAGTTAGATAAAAAGCACATCTGGTATTTAACCATATCGTGGTGATGATGGGTTTTACAAAGCACACTTAATGCAGGGACTTGTAGCAGAGAGGTAAATTAGTAATTAGTTTATATGAATATTTTTAAGTCATGAATCTAGGTCGCCATTTCAATTTCATGCACTGCAACTGCTGTGAAGCTAATCTAGCCACGGCTGCCATCCATAGTGAAGTGCAATCTATGAATTCTTCAGAGTCTTCACTTACAGGAGGGGAGTGTATATACTCAAGTCCTGTTTCCTTGGTGGGTTATTGTTATTGAGCGAGCATAAATAGACAGAGTCATCGTCTATGTGACTGACTGCTGCAGAAGACACGGGGATCAGACTAATTTACGACACTGCATCCCTCCCATTCTCTTTTCATCCCATAAGTAATAAATACTGTTCGCAGGGATCATTATGCCAGCGTAGCTCCAATGCCTCCTGAACCCTATGAGATTTCATTCTGTGGTGCCGGCTGTTGATTTGGAAAAAAAAAAAGACATTATAAAGACTGTAACTTATCAAATGCATTTGCTTCACTGTGTTGAGATAAATCTAAACTTCTACCAGAAACTACCGGCTTTGAAGCTCTGGGTGCATGAGGGACTAAGCTGCACCCATGCAAAAACCTTTTTCTGTAGGCCCATCTTATTATTCACCCAGGCACATAAAGCTTGGAGGAAGGAGTGCAGGTGTGAGTGGCTTGGCATCCTTACGGTAACACTCTCTGGAACTTTGTAATACTAATCCAACATCTGAGGAGAGCTAATGATTGTGTGCTCGCTCTCTGCTGGTGTCACTTTCTTAGCAGGACTTGTGACATTTAAGCTCGCTCCTTTTGCTTTAGTGTGCTTAGCCCATTTGTTACAAACTTTGCCAGGCTTGTTTTAATAGAAACACCACAGCACCGATTGAGGTGTGCTGAACACTGGCTCCTGGTTAGATAATGCTTCTGTGTTTGTTCTTGCACAGAAGTAATGCACATCATTGCTTAAATTGGTCAAATTGATCTCAATTAGAACACAGATAACAAGCTAAACAGCTTGAAGAACAATAACGTGAACAATCGCAGAGGCTTGAGTGTAGCTTGTGTTTGTCCTTCTGCTGCACAGCTGCTAAAAAGAAGTAACAGCACAAAGGCTTTTGAAAGACTTTTGAAGACTTTTTAAACACATTTTTTGTTGTTTGTCTCAGTTAGGCTTGAAACCTAAGAGTATAGATTTACACACCACACAGTATTTAATTCTTCCACATCAGAGGGAGACTGTAACAGCATACCAGAAGCTCAGACTTCTCCAGTTACAAAACCCTTCACTTCTGAAGGCACCAGTGTTTTTCCCTCAAAAATAGTTTTAGGCATGTTTAAATCTCTCCATGTCAACTTTCTGGATGTCAGACCACAGTCGTGATTCATGACCTGTTACCCCATTTAACCGTCTACGTGTGTTAAAGCATATTTAGTCCAGACGTTAGATACTTACCTCATGGTGTATGAACTTTCCAAGCACAGCTGTGGAGTTTGGTGTCAGTAGCATATGTGTTTGTTTGTGTGTGTGACTAGTGAGTTTTTTGCTTCAGGCGAGTTGATTCCTTATCAGAATTCTGATTGGACAGTAATGACCTTGACGTTGGGGCATTAAATGCACTTCAGCTTGTTGTTGAAAAAGTGATGAAAGGCCCTTTGTATTCTACAGAGTTTGTGCCTTTATATAGAAGTTTACCCCAGTGTCAGGTCAGCTGGCCTTCACCTTTGGCACTAACCTTGTTGGCTGTCTGTAACTATCCCAGTGTGAAGGCAGACTAGTGGCACCATTCAACATCAGACTGTTTCACACCCAACTAAATCAAAACCAAGGCTGGACAGGACTATGTAGTCTTGTCCAGCCTTGGTTTGTATAAGTATATTCAAACATTTGTTTTTGGTTGGGCGTTTATTGAAATTAATGGTTATATTTTGCAGAAATGCATAGCTGTACTAGCAAAATTTGGCTTTGGACACTAAAACGAAGGTTTAGATGAGTTGGCAGTAATTCAGTTTTCATACAGTTTAATTTGATTTATATAACGCCAAATCACAACAACAGTTGCCTAAAGGCACTTTATATTATAAGGTAAAGACCCTTCAATAACACAATACAGTACGGTGTTATGATTTGAATTTGTGTTTGACTAAACGTGCCTAAACAATACTTAACTTTTGAATCTGGTATGTCAAATATATATTATGTGTTAAGTTATACTGGTGGATCTATAGTAAAAAAATAATTCTAAACATCTGTGACGGCGCAGTGAAAAACATTCAGGTATTGGGGCGACATATGCTGTCCTGCAGATGGTCGTTCTCTTTTTCGCTCTCTCTCATTTTTAAAATGTATTATCATTAGTTTTGGGGGGTATAGTCTGCTTATTTACTTTTTGCTATTTATTTATTTATTTTGGATTAAAGTAAGACCGACAGTATTTGAACAAAGGTACAAAACACAAGGTTCAAAGACATCAGGCTTAAATATCACAATAGGAGACCTGTCCATAGTCCAGACCTGTCACCCACTGAAAACATTTGGTACATTACAAAACAAGGAAATAAAACGTATAACGCAGGAATAAGAACACCAACTACACCAGCAGGTCTCTATGGGTTCCAGGTATAAGACAGTGGGAAACACGGTTGTAAGTGATACAAATTTTATCTAATGTGTTTGAGAGCCCAGTTTAGCTCTTACATTTTACCAATTTACCTTTTGACATCCGACGTGTTCACATTACTTGTATCCTGACTGGAGATCTCATGAGATCTTATTAACTAAGCAGCAAAGTGTTTAATGTATCCACGGTGAACATGAGAAGTGTTATCAGTTCTGTTATGTTCTGAGTCTGAAAAATGCTCATTCTGCAAACTTGTTGACTCAGCAAATAACCACTCGAGAATTTGCATGAGAACAATGGTCCTAACTTGTTAATTTATGATAAAGAAATGAAGTGTTGTTTCAGCTGTTAGTTATTTTTTCCTGATAGAGTTGTCCTATGATAACCATGCATGAAATGTTAGTCAATGGGGTTTTTTTCTGTGTTTTCCAGGGGAGCATTTTCAGTGGTGCGCAGATGTGTTAAGCTGTGCACAGGACAGGAGTATGCTGCTAAAATAATCAACACCAAAAAGTTATCTGCAAGAGGTAAGCACAACTTATTTCAGTGTTATATCACATATGCATCCAGTTTTATTGAATCACAGCTTCCATGTGAGCCAAAGTGTGATCTCAAACAACACCACTGTTTCGATGTTTAACTGTTAATTCATGAGCTAAAAGTACAATTTGCAACCATTCAAAAATGACTAAGTTGTTCATAGCTTCTCTGTCCCAGTGGTCACCACCCCCACCTGTAGTGTAGACAGTTATATAAGCAAAATGTAGCAGCAAAATTTGGTTTCCTTCTCAGATGCCACTTCATAGGACAAACTTTTAATTACATTCATGTCTGTTTATAAGAAATGGAGGAAGCTGTAAAAGCCCTAGCAGCAGTAAAAACAGCACTGGTATGGTGATGTGACAGTCATACAGTAGATTTGCTCAACACTGGTTCACCTTTTACACTACCCTGTTTCTGAGATGTGTTGAGGAACCCCTGGAGAACAAATTATATGGTATTGTTTGTGTGCCCTATATATGACTGCAGGAAAGATCGTAGCAGTAATTGTCTTTAAATCAAGTCCAAAGAGTTCAACGTAAATCAGTCAGGACCATTAAAGTCGAAGCTATTTTCAGTTGCAGTAATTTCTATTTAGCTGTATGCTCTATTCTGGGATCTTCCTGCCCTTCTACATGCATACATGCAAATGTAAAAGGCAAAAGTGGGCAGAAGAGAAGTAAAACTCAGCACAGCAGAGAACAGAGCAGGCATCACTGATAACCAACCCTATACACACTACTTAACTTGAATAGGGATGGGTACCGGTATCTGGTGCTATGATGGCACTGCTGTAGCAGTGCTACAGATTAAAAATGCCCAAGGCCAAGCGATCAAAAGTCTGGCTGTACTTCACAGCAAAAGATGCAAACTCAGCAGCCTGCAACAAGTGCTTTAAAGTGATACTGTGCAAAGGAGGTAACACCTCAAATCCGATGAAACACCTGGTGACGCATAGCGTTTTTTTTAAAAGCCGAGAAATGCACCGTATTTGATAGCTTGCTGCGAAACCTCACACCGAGCACATCTACTGCGGGTGTGGTGCCTGTTATCGGACCCGGAGTTTGCAACATCCTCCAAAAACTCGAAGAGTAGAGTCCTGGCCCCTAGCCCTGCCAGTGTACCAGAAATGATGACGGATGATGATGGCAGCAGCAGCCGTTCTTCTGTGGGTCAGTCGCTTAATGTTGTTCGTGTGTAATTTAGGTTGAGTAGGCTAACCACGTTATTACATTAATGCACGTAAGGTGAACTAGCAAACACCATCGTAGTTACATGCGGCTGTCTTCTTGTTTGATGGCAGATACTCCCTTCACCCTGGCCAAAAAAGCTAAAATGACCAAAGAAAAAGTGGGATACAGTTAAACATGAGAGGTTTTGGACAAAGTTTGTGTTATTCATTCTTTAAGCACCTGTTCGAGCACCGTTTAAGCACCGGCACCGTTTCAAAAGTACCGGTTTGGTACTGGTATCGGATAAAACCTAAACGATATCCATCCCTAATCTTGAAATCATCTTGTTTAGTTGTTTAGCTGCAATTCATATTCTGCTGCATGTGTTGCAGGATAATATGGACGTACCAATAAATCAGTCAGTCTTCAAATACTGGCTTGTATAATAATGTAAAGTGAAAAGGTTTTTCTATATATTGGGATTGTGTTTCTTCTGAATAACATAGACTCTGTAACCACCGTAATTAGTGTCACATGCTACTCAGCCAGTAATGACTTAAGCCAAAGCCAAGGCTAAATGCCTTTGCCACCAAAGCCAGTCGAGCACCACTGTGGTCGCCGTGGCAATTTACACCACCACTTGCCCAGTGTAAATCTCCTGCTGCCCTTGCAGCCTCGTAACTGGAAACCCACTGCTATGGCCCTGCCAGGTGGCACCACGCTGTCACTTGACTGTTACCCTGCCTTGACATAAGCTCACAAATGGATTGTGTGTTAAAATGTTGAGTGTGGTAGAAAAGGCATTTTAACAGGCATGAAGCAGAGGGCTTGATCCTGAAATGTCTGTCCTTATCTGCCTTCTCTCTCAAATGTTACCCTCAGTTGGGCTTGTCAGTTTGTAGGTATTAATTTTCTTACCAAACCATTGTTAAAATATCAGTGCTGTATGCAGACAATTTAAAAAAATTATGCTTTGTGTGTTCACGATTATGTGAGCTTCTTAAAGGTCAGGCTCCTGGGTACAAAATTCAATAATAATGTTTGAAAATATTAGACTTGAATGTTTATATAGTCAGGTTAAACTCATGTGTGTTCATCTCCTTTACTATGCAGACACTTGGAAACAGTGCAGTGTAATAAATAAATGAGATGATGTTGTAATGCACTTTTAGCATTGTATTTCAGCATACTATTTCCAGCTCCAGCAGGCATCAGACACAAATTAGCATTGCTACTGTCACTCATAACTCATCACATTTTGTGCAGTGAAATTACAAATGTGTTTCTGATTTCAAACATTACGAGGGTGGTAGAGGTTATATGATCTGAGCGTCTGTATTGATCTTTCTTACTAAGCCGTAACGAAAATATAGTCTAATATTAAACTTTGCAGACAAGCTTTTTATAAAAATTTAAGTTTCTATAAAAAATAGAAGAAGTCGACTGCAACGAACATTGTTCTAATTGTGGTGTCACATTATTCTTGACATCAATTGTATCTCATTTTCTGCTTGCATTTTATTGCATTGTGCAGCATTTAATGAGATTAAACCCATCCTAGATTATCCGGCCTCTATTAACTGCAAGAGGCTAGTAGTTAATTCTAGAGTGTGGTTTAATGAGACTTAAAGTTACACATACACAGACACACAGAGTATAAATACACTTCCTATAGGTTGTGCTATCATTCTGCATAATTTCACTCCAGCTGCTTTATCGGGCAGTGCAGCTGCTTTCCACCATTTTTCGGAGGCACAGTGTAATCTCTCTGCTTCAACATTTGATAGGGTGACTGATCTGACCTGACTGAGCGGTGCGCGAGGCCCGTGCTGCGCTCCTTACTAATGGATGAGCCATGTTCTGTGAAATAGCAGGGCTATGCTAGAGCCAACAGAGCTGCTGCATACTACTTCTACTCAAAGTCCTTTTTATAGCTCCATGACCTTTGTGACATGGGCTGCTGCTGCATTCACGCTTTATGGCAGCCCTGATGGCTTGCTGCTCTACTTTAGAAGTGGGATTTGGTTTAGGCCTTTTTTGATGTTGTAATATTTCTCAGGCAGCAGGTAGGGTCGGTGAGTTTACAGCCCTGGTTTCACCAACTTAAGAGGACCGTTTGTTTAGGATCAGCAGATGGAGATGGTAGCTGAGGGGAGGGTGGGGTCATCAGAGCAAAGGCACCCCAGGCATTTGGCAGCTGAGGGCCATGCGCCTGTACGCCTACATGCCTTTAGCACGGGATACTCATCTGACTCTCCCTCTCTTTCTCTCAGACACACACGGGCAGATATTCAGACAGCCACAGCAGAGAAGCAGTGTCTGTGATGCAGGCAGTCAACTGGACAGTGAACTCTATCAAGAAACTAGTAGTTACAACCAAAAAGTGTCACAATTTGTTGGTTGTTGTAGTCATAACACTTGGTTCACATTCTAAACATTCAAATTTATGAATAGAGTAGTAGTCGGGCTTCTCATTACATCTTCCCACCACCCCACCCTGCCGTTCCCTTTTCCAGCCGACAAACGGTTAATGCCAATCCAACACATGTCAACAGGAAATATAGGGCAGGTCTGCTGGGCAAGGCTTCCAGCCAATCATAGGACTTGTTTATTGGCAATAAAGTGGATGCCAGAGGTTCCTGTATGGCCATGTAATTATATCATGATAGAGTAGAGCTTGTGTGTCTGTGTGGGAGTGTGTGTGT